TTTTCAAAAAAAATTGAATCATAAAATTTATATATACATGGGCAAAAAATTCATGGAAAAAAATGAAAAGACTAGTTTACTTTGGTATAAACACATTTTTTTGAAATCCATGCACACCAGTCCAAAAAATTTTATGAAAAAATACACGTGCTATTAAATAAATAAGGTATGGATTTAAATTTTGGGGGGGCACCAAACTAAATTCATCTGTTCATTCCTTCCTTCTTTCAGACTTTTCGAAGGACCCCCCATGTTATGGGGTATACAGCGATATTTCCGTACAGGTGTATACTGTGTCATGTGCCAACCACAGAAGGTATGTCTGTTTTCTCAAACATCCATCACTTGTGTGCAGTGAGAATCTTCAATATTTTTTTCCTCTATCTTTTGGGAACAGACAGGGTGCCGCTCTACCCCCTTCCATGCAACAGAATATCCACTGGAACACCGCTTTCGTCCCCAGCTGTAGTGGGCTGGCATGTCTCACTGTGGGTCCTCTGCTTGAGGGCCAGAGAGTCAGCATAATTGTGGAGTAGCAGTCTCCTGTGCCTCCATCTGCCCTGGGAAGCATGGGACGGGGAGAGAGGGTGACAGACACAGTTGGGCAGGGGAACCCCTCGACTGTGGGGCCTGGGTAGGGACTCCAGGAGAGGAGTCACTGCTCTAAGCACAAGGAAGAGCCAAGGTGGAGGGGAGGGAGCCTCTGGGGCAGTGAGTGGAGGCCATACACTAACGTCATGCATGGTTGCCTTGGGAGCGGCCAGGGTGGACAATTCCTGGGCACTGAGCAGGGCCTCAGCCCACCCAGCATGAACCCTTGAGGATTTCACCTTCACTTTGGACCTCTCGCCAACCCTGGAGTGTACACTGGGGTCAGTCAGGGAGAGCTCTGTTAGCTCTTAGGGGAGGGCTCTGCGTTGAAGTCTTTGGTCTGAATCTTGGCTCTGCCCTCTACCAGCCATGCACCGGGACCAAGGGCTGAGCCGCAGTTTCAAGCGACCTCACTTTCATTGAGTGCTTATTTATGTGCTAGGCAGGGACTGTGCTGGGCCCAGAATGGGATGTGGTGAGCCCACATGGAGGAATAAGGGTTGCTACCCTCTGTACTCCACGGTGCACACACAGTGGTGGTTGTAGAGTCAGAATGCAGAAGGTGCTTCCTGTGCTACCCAGCTCTGTGGAGATGTTAAGGTATCTCCATGGTCACAGACTAGGGAAGTGGTTCCAGAATAATTCCTGGAGGTGTGAGGACACAACTGACCTATGTACTCACACTTTCTCCTACATGGTTCCCAAGGGTGGGGGATTTCAACCCATGACGTGGCTGGGAACACAGCCCAGTTAGACGGGATGGCCTGAGAAATAGGCAGGGTTTCTGCTCCCTAGCCTCGGTACTTTGATATCAGGGGCTTCCCAGAGTCAGCCAAGCCCCAGGGAGAGTAATTACTGTCCAGCACAGCTTTCACATGCAAGCCAACCAACCCAGAGCCCGCCCCACTCTATCCCCAATTCCTGATCCTAAGCAACTTGGGGCCGGTTGAGGCAACTAGTACCTAGGCAACTGGGTACCTAGAGTCTGCTAAACCAAGCCACCTAAACCTTAGCGCTCCCTGTGAATATTCTATCTACTAATCCTAGGAGCATTTACACGTTCCTGATCATTTCCACCTTGGAAGTCACAGGAAGGCCTTTACCTGTGCTCACTGCTCACCTCCTCTGACCTCCTGCCTGCCACTGTGCCTCCTCCTTGCACAAACTGCAATGTAGGCATCTCCCCTTGTGATACATACTTCCATGCCCACCTGCCTTACCATATTTGATTAAAACAAGCTCTGGGTCCCTTTAACACAGCTCCACACAGAGGACGGGCATCTGGTACCAATCGTAGGGCTTGGTCCAAGATCTGAGTCTAGTGTTTCCTTTCGACATTGGTTGTAGGATGCAACTCGTCACTGGGGTCACAGGTAGGTTCTGGGCCAGAGTCTGGGATGAATGAGACTCCCCTGATTCCTTTCCTGCACCTTAGATGCAACCTTTTCCACATCAATTTTTTCCCCTATAAAGATGAATTGGTGCCCCATGCAAGGCTGCTGGGAGGATTCAATGAGGTGCTCCATGCCAAGATTGAGCCCAGGGTCTGTACTTGGGCAAAACTCCTTGTTCAATGACTACTGAGACATAAACCATGAACTTACATTATATTAAAGCATATCACATAGGTCAAAAGATCTGACTCTCGGCAGTTACTTAGGGCCCAATCTCAGAAATGCACCAGTCTCTGATTTCTAGCCATCTATTTTATCCTGGGTTGCACAGTTACACTGGGGACTACTGTCTCATGAAAACTCTTCTGTGTTTAGTTTGTACAACAGGTCCCAAAAAGATATCCTGCACTCTTGGCTATAGATTTTCTACTCTCGATGCTGTGTGTTTAGGGCAGGCACGGTTTCCCAAAACAAAACAGAACACAAATCACACATAACCTCCACAGATTCTTTCAGGCAGACAAATGCTCTCACGTTGGAGTGAAAGTCAAGGCTTAGTAGTGGAAAAAAAAAAAAAAACCCAAGCCAAAGCCTAGGTATTCAGAATGAAGCTGCCTGTTTTCTGAAGTCCTCTAAAATATAACACATGACAAGAGGATGCAAAGTGACACTTGGCTGCATCACACTGGGAGCTGCGGGTATATAAACTCACAAAAGATGCTGCTGCTGTCTATTAGCCAAACACCAGTTGTTTTTTTCAACGACATATATGCTGTTGTCATGGGGACATGAGGACACAGCATCCCATAATTCTTTAGTCTTGGTACTCTAGGGATCAGGATGCTTTTCTTGTATGTGCGTGTGGCCACCTTGGGTATGCTATTGTCCAGCAGCTGGCATGATAGCCAAAGCATATGCATTTGTTTTAAATGTGATAAAATACATATAACACACAGTTTGGCATCGTACGCATTTCTAAACACATGGTTCTGGGGTGCTAAGTACATTGATGCTGTGTGGCTATCACTATCAACCATCTCCAGGATGCTCTGTACCACACAGAACTTAAACAAGGTATCCTGGACCCTCTGCTCTCTGCAACTGCCTGCCTCTTTCAGTCCGACGACTGTCGGTTCCTGACCAGGGTAGACGCACGTAATATCTGTCCTCTGTTGCCTGGCTCATTTTTACCAGTTTATTTCACTTCAGAATTCCTCTAGGTTGCAGCATGGGCCAGAATTTCCTTTCTTTTGATAGCTGAACAGTAAGCTGGTGAAGACACAGACCATAGCTTTTTCATGCCTTCAGCCATGGATAAGACACTTGGGGTTGCCTCCACATTTTTGCTACTGTACAGAACACTGCTACAAACATAGGTATGCAAGTAGATCTGCAATATTCTGGGTGTATACCCAGAGGCAGAATTATTGGATCACGTGGCAATCCAATGCAACATAAGCATGTCGAGCAAATTCCAAGCCACTATTCGTATTAGCTTGATGGCACAGTTATATGGAAGCAGTGCCATCAAAATCTCTCCAGGGTGGCTTTTGGTATTACAACAAGGTGTGATTCTCAGAGTTCATGTTCCTTTGAACCATAAGTCCACAGTCCAGTCCATCTGCAGGCTCCTGGGTTCTACCTGTAGGTGTCCTAAACTACAGTGCTTCTGCCCAAACTGAGAATTTGCATGTTAACTAAGTCTCATTCACACAGCCACTGTACTTGAGAGTTGGCATGATGCTGGGAAAGCAAACTTCCTACCATTTCCAACTACTCACAGGACACTGCAATCCCTGGCTGGGCTGGTTCTAGAAGGGTCTCTAAGTTGGCCATGGAGCCTTCCATCCAGTGCTGCCCCTTAAAAATCACTCTGGCGGGAGAGTGCAGTTTAGCTTCTAGTTGGAGGATTCTGAACAAAGCATGTGTATTCATGCAAAGCACATACAACAAAGGGTTGTCTGAGGTTGATGGAAAAAATCCTAGCTAGCTGCAGTGTCAGGACCCAGTGCCCATTCCTCTGGGGGTCTAAATGGAAGCAGCGGGACTCCTTTGTGGGAACAGACCAATGAAGAGAATTTAAGCAACAAGAGTGATCACTTGTGGTATCTACAGTGCTTGTATCTGGCACCTGTACTCAGCTCCTTTCTGCAGCTCATCTTTCTTTGTCTTCCTGTAGTATTTTCCTTCTTCCTCTTTACTCTTTCCTTCATTCCCTGCCAACATCTTTTTTCCTAACTCTTCCTATCTTTGCTCTTTGATGAAATGGTAGTTCTTTACAAGTTACTTGTTTTTGAAGACTGGAGCTAACAAATCGCAGGCCTGTCTAAGCTTGGTCCACAATGAAACTTGGCTTCTGCATTTTGGCATCAGGCCTGCGTTCTCATTTCGCATGGGTCCAAAGTGACAGTGAGTGCTTATGCCTCATGTGGAGCAGATGTCTCAGCAGCCAGAGTTTGGACAATTCGTTATCTGGGTAATTTCAGTGACTACAATTTTGCCACTTAATTTCTCCAGCTCCATCATTCCTCGGATACAGGCTGCTGGTTCATGGTGAAATGGCCCTTGAGAGAGAAGACCCACGTGCCAGCTGTGTCAAACCTGCTCCCAATAGGACCATAATAGGGAGGATAAAAAAATTCAGGGAATGAGTTCCCCCTCTTCATGTCACAATGAAAGCCTGTTTGGCGGAGTGTGTAGGCTGGGCCTGCTCTTTGTTAACTATAAGTTGTTCTCACAGTACAGAATTCTTTCACCAGCCTGAAAATAAATGAATCACATGCATTTTGTGGGGACTATGGGCACTGGCACAAACAGGTGTGGGAGTGTGTCTTCTGGGATGGGAGAGAACATTGATGAACACACAAAAATATGTACCTTGGAAACATGGAAGTCCAAATGCAAATGTGAAAAGCACCAACTCTCTTCCTCTTTAATCCAGCCCTTCCCAGGACCCCACGTGCATGTTTGCATGATAAAAGACACTGAGGCAGTTATATGACCATTAAAGCTTACCATTGTTGTAAGAGCGAAAATTTCCTACGAATTTTATGTATTCATAAGTTGGAAATTCCTTTGGGTTCAAGCTGCCTCTGAGAAGATGGCAATAAAACTCTAAATCGTTGTCAGCTGGGCCGTTAAAGGGAGAAGAGGAGAGAAAGGCGGATCAGCGTTATGCAGACTCTAAATAAGCAGTGGCTTAGTGAAAACGCTCAAGGGATCTGCTCCACCATAGGCAGAGTGGTTCTCTCACTATTACTAACCCTTGAATGCAGTTAACCCTCTTTGCAGCCTGGGGTTTGCTCCCAAAATATCCATAGATATTCTGCCTTCCATACTTGGATCCAATTGCATATATCGTTGTGCAAGGGGGATGCTGAGATTCATGTCTCCATTTGTTCTGGGGTGTCTGTGGTTTGGCCATGTTGGCACTGATTAATTCTGGACATTTTCAAATAAAGCTGCTCATATGGAGATACTCCCTTCAAAGAACTCTCTTGGGAGTAAAATCACAGTACAACAGGATGAATTATTCCTGGAGAAAGGACTAAGTCTTGAACAAATGCAACCCTATTTGCTATCTCATGCTACCATGCATGCTTTATGGAGTGGCACCTGCTAAAGTCAGCCATCCACCTAGGCTGCCAATGATTTTGATACAAATATCAACATTCCTTCAAGAACTGCAAGCATATGTAAATAACCCAAAGACAGCCTCGGGAGGCCAGAATCAGGATGTGTGGCCTCATTCTTCAGTTTTCTGTTGGTTACTTGGCAAATTTAGCATCTTGATGTCCTCTAACATAAGCAAACCATGCACTGATTTTTGCACCGTTCATTAGTGAAAGGCTCTCGTCACGCACACAGAGCAAGCTCTTATTCTGAAGCTTCCAAATTTTCCACATGAAAGCTAAATGTCTTCCATATTCTGAACTCCACTTTTAGCTTGAAACTTAAAATATACCTCTAAGGATCTTGGAGATGTTCTGAGTCATGAGGAAAATTATTCTTAAAATTAGTCCTCCCTTCTTAATTCATCCAAACCTTCTTTCTAATGTGACATTCTTCTCTTTGGAGCTGGTAAAGCCAGTGGAACAAAACAACTCACATTTTAAGTATTCTGGGGAGGGTGACTCCGTCAAGAGCATATGCGAAGAGAGCATTTTATACACTTCTGAGTGTTCTTGTTCCGGAAGGAAGTTTAACAAGTTCTGATCCATGACATCTGCCTGGAAAGGAAAACAAAGAACAAAGGTACACACTCCACAAAGACACCCAGCAGCATAGATGGTTCTCAGCTTTCAGGAGTTCCAATCATGGTTTTTGACAGTGGTGGGAGAGCCACACCCATCCAATAGAAGCTGTCAATTAGGCTGTCTCCTGGGTTTGCAATGTGCAATCCTCCTCTCTCATAGTGCTGGCCGGTTGCAGGAATGGCAGCTTTGTCAGTGCCAGGGCCAAAAAGATGAACATCTTTTACCCCTCAGGGCACTATGCTGCTCAGATAGGGTGCCTGGAAGGTTAGGTGCATTCAATCCATTTATGATATTCCCAGCATATGATGGGCTTAACAGGATGTAACCCCATCTCTGGTCACGAGGCATCTGAACTTGAATGGCCAGCCCTTTTGGTCCATGCACTCAACCGGGAGCAAATGGAAGACAGAAAAGAGCAATCTTTCCCTGCTTTCATTCCCTAAACAGTACATGCAGTATTACAACAAAAACAGCATTCATGCTTTCTTAGGGATAATAAGCTGTCATCTCTACAGTGATGGTTTCAAGGGTACGGAAGTGTTGTGTGGGCTTTACACAAATACCACGGCACGCTAAATTAGGGGGTTGAGCATCTTTAAATTTTGGTATCTGGAGTCTATTCCCCCATACCCCAGTACTGGGAGATGGCTGCATTTTAGAGCCTGGTAGACACATCAGAGAGGCCAAGGTATGCACAGGGACAGACAGGAAATGGATGGGGGAGTAATGACAGTCCAAAGCAACTTATTGGACACTCCAATCCAGCTGACATTCATGATAGCTCCTAGGGGCCAGCTGTTGTTGTAGATATTGGGAGATATAGAGAGCACGCAATATTCCTCTGACCACAGACTCAACCTGCTGGTGGGGTAAGGAGGGTGCTTACAGCTCAGTGGCTCACCAGAGGAAGGATTCAGGATGGCCCCAGGCTCCTCAGTGGCACCATCAGGTTTTCCCTCCCTGACACTGCCGACCATTGCCCTCGTGGCCTGTGCTGTCGGTTCCGGCCTTCGCCAAGCTCTGGTGATACTCTCGATGATATTTTAGCTCTTTCCCTCTGGGATTTGGAAGGTGACTCATGTTCACAGACGATAGAAATTTTTTCCTTAAAGATAGTTCAGTTACTTAGAAAGGATAACAAAGTTAGTCCATGGCCTTTTCCTGGAGCATGCTGTCTGAAGCTGCTTCTGCCCCGGGTAGTGGAGTGGAAGAAGGTGAGGAGGTGGGGGTGCTTGGCCTAGTTGCTGGCCTGCAGCTCTGAGGGCTATGGGGTTATCTCAGGCTGAAGAATAAAGATGCACAGGATGGAGGTAGGGGTAGGTAGGATATATGGGAGGTTGTGAGTTAATACCTGGAACAGGATCAGAACTGTGACCTTACGTGAGGGTGCTTCATAAAGTTCATAGAAAATGGGAAAAAAGATAACTTTATTAAGGTGCAAAAAATTTTGAAATTCATGTTTTGTTTCTTCATAATAAACATTTTCCATGGGGGTGGGGAGGGCAGTGTCGTGGCATAGTAGGTTAAGCCTCTGCCTATGGTGCCAGCATTCTGTCTGGGTGCTGGTTTGAGTCCCAGGTGTTTTACTTCCTATTCAGCTTCCTACTAATGTGCCTAGAAAAGCAGCAGAAGATGGTTGACCCATGCGGGAGACCTGGAAGAGGTTTCTGGCTCCTGGCCTTGGGCCAGCTCACTTCCAGCAATTGGGCCATTGCAGCCATTTCGGGAGTAAACCAGTGGATGAAAGATCACTCCCTTTCTCTCCTTCTCTTTCTGCAAATCTACGCCTTTCAAATAAAAATAAATAAACCTAAAAGGAAAAAAAAAACCCCACTTTCTATGGACTTTTTCCAAGACCCTTAGAATGCATACATTTCAAAACCTTCTTTTGCACCATAATAAAGCTATATTTTCATTTCATTCATCTTTTTGCAGTGTTTCTGCATTTGCTGGTATATTAGAATGAAGCCACTTCCACACGTTGGAGACCCATGCCGACCATGACAATTCAGAGTTGAAGCCCCAGGACTGACAGGAGAGTGGATCCCAGCTGCACCTGAGCCCTGGATGAGCTGAGCTCTACTGACTGAGAGGACAGCAATTGCAGAGACACCAGAGGAAAGGCACCCTCTGCAGTCAGTGGGTGGCAGAGTCACTGCATCAGGAAGTCCCTTATCTGTCCCAGGTGGGAGGTCCTACCTCCTAACTTCCTGAGAGGCCCTTGGTTGCTTTATGGTGGAGCTGCTGCTTTCCCGAGCTTCACCATGAACAGCTGTCCCAAAGGCCACATTGCACCCCTTCCACTTCTCCCGAGAGCCAGGGATGAGCTGAAACTACAGCAGGACATAGGAAGGCATCCTATCCTTCCTTCTTGAACCGGCAACACCAAAGTGCTATGAGCCCATGTGTGATGCACATGGCAGCTGGCTGGAAGTGAGCCTGGGGGACACCGAGTCCTGGGATGTCCCCTAGAGGCTCAGGAATCTGGGTGGGGGATCTTAGGCTGGCCACAATGAGTAGGGGCATACGTGAGAAGTCCTGGGGAATCTTCCCCTTGGGAAATCGTGGGAGTGGGCTCAGGGAAGTACAGGGGCTCTTGAGCTGGCCCGAAGAATCAGAGAGTTTAAGATTCAGAATCAAATGGATGGCCAGATAACATGGCAACAGCTTTGGCCTTGGAGGAGTGATTTAATAAAATATAACAACACAATTATACAAAAAATAGCATCTCTAGGGGCCAGTGTTGTGGCATAATGGTTAAGCTGTAATGCCAGCATCCCATGTGGGTGTTGGTTTGTATCTCAGCAACTTCTCTTCTGATTCAGTTCCCTGCTAACGGCCTAGGAAAAGCAGTGGAGGATGGCCCAAGTGGTTGGGCCCCTGCTACCCACATGGGAGACGTGGATGAAGTTGCTGGCTCTTGGCTTAAGCTGGGCTCAGCTCTGACCATTGTGGTCATCTGGGGAGTGAACTAATGGATAGATGATTTCTCTCTCTCTCTCTCCATCTTCAATTATCAAATCAACCAAGCTTTTTAATTTTTTCTAAAGAGTATCTCTGTTCACAAAATACCCAAGTATTTGTAGGATAAAATCTAAAATTGAGGCCAGTATTACCTTGACACAGGTCAAGTCTTGAGGGCCTGGACTAGTTTACAAGCAAGCTCTCTTCCAAGGTTAAGATTTCGCAAGCCAAACACTGCCCTTACCATGGGACCAGGTACAGTTCCTGCTCATGCCCAAGTCCAGGGTTCTGCTCTCACTCTTCTGTGAGTGGTAGGGTTCACCCCGCCCTCTTAGTACTCTACCACCCGTCCCATGATGGCTCTTGTGTGGTGTGGGATGTTCTTCCCTAGGCCGAGTACACAGGACAGATTAACGTCTGTTGGCCTGATACATCCAGTGATGGCTCTTTGTGTTTGGACATCCCTGCTACCCAAGAGGTGATTATAACAGTACTCCGAGACCTGGATGGAATTCCAGACCTGGATGGAATTGCAGGTGTCATGGCTTTAGTTTGGCCCAGCCTTGACTGTTGCCATATGGGGAGTGAGCCAGTGTGTGAAAGGCATCTCTTTCTTTTTCTCTCTCCCTCTCCTTATCTACATCTCAAATAAAATCTTTGAAAACAAAAACAAAACCCTAGCAGAGGTATAGTGTCCAGATCATGGAAAGAAGGCTTAACCTTAATTACAAGAAAAGAAGAAGTCCAGAAAATTTAATAGGAAAATGTTAAAATATCCAAATAGGCACTTAAGTCCAAATAGCCCATCAACATATAAAACGTCAATCTCCTTCTCACTGGTAGAAAAACCAAGCCAAGCTCCATGAGATACACCAGACTGACCAACATGAAGAAGTCTGACAGCAAACACCCAGCTCTGAGACACAGAGCGCCTGGATCTCTCTGGACTGGCACACCTGCTTAGAAGCCGTCTGGCTTTACTGCCAAGGGAGGAGGGCACCAATCTGTCCTGCCTCCCAGCTGGTCTACACCTGGGCACATGTCCAAGGGATGCCTGCAAGTGCTACTGGGGCCACACAATGCAGTGTTCACAGCAGCGCCTTCCAAGAGTCTGAAGACAGAAGGGAGGCAGGACTCACTGCGCATTCCTGCAGAATGTGTCGAGAATTCTCTGCGGTGTCATGAACGCGAGCCAGCAACAGTACCCCAAGCAGTGTTGGCTGGATGAAGCTCACAAGACTGAGCAAAAGAGAAGTCACAAGGATCTATTTCTGGAGCTGGTATTGTGGCCCATCAGGTTAATCTCCTGCTTGCAAGGCTGGCATCCCATATGGACACTGGTTCAAGTCCCATCTGCTTTACTTCCCATCCAGCCCCTTGCTGACGTGCCTACACGCTTCTGTTTCCTGACCTGTGTTCAGGGTCATGACCTAACTCATGGGGTCAGTGAAGGCTAGGACAGCAAACTTGGTCTGACCTCACTCTGTGCTGGAGTTGCACAGGCAATTTGCATATTAACATAGGTAAGGGACCCTGATGTGTCTGGTATGTGGCAGGTGCTCAGCATGTGTTCACTGATGATGGCTGAGTGGGTGAATTCTTGACAACATCACAAGCCCCTAAGGATGACCATGCCCTGAGGGCGGAGAGGCCCCATCAGTTGCAATAGGCCTAGAGCACTTCCCGGGTAACAGGCACGTATGAATCCTGGCAAATGGAGTACAGAGCTGAGCACCAGAAGTCCTCAGCCTCAGAGAGGCACCAGCACAGGGCAGTGACTGGTGTGGGCACTGCAGAGCTGCACCTACAGGCTCTGCTGTGTTGCTCACTGGTGGGACTTGACAAGACATGAAAGTCACAGGCTCCTCTGCCCATCAGCTCGCCGTGGATTTGATCAGGCCTCAGATGCACTTGCAACCGACAACAGGAGGGCAGGGAGGGGTGGGGATTCATGTGCAGACTTGTAGTAAGCAGTCACGTATGTCTAGCATTGACAAGTGGTGGCTGGGAGTCATTTCTAGCCCTCCTGGAGTTTAGAAGGGAGTTAAAGTGGTCCTGAGGTGTTCTCTGCCACGGGCAGTACCAGGGTCATCAGATGATTACAAGGACAAATCCTGTTGACCCCAGAGATGGCTCTGGGCTGCTATCTCTCTCTCCCAGGTCATTAGGCAGGCTGTGTTTGGTCCTTTTCCACCAGTGCCTGGAACTGCCCAGGCCTTTGCATTCTGTACAAAACCCAAGCCCCCTCCAAAGGAGCGCCCATCTCCTCTTTCCCTGGCCATCTTCAGATGACAGGAACCCTTCTGGATTTGTCACTGTCATCCCAGGATGAGGAAAAGCAAGGTACAGCTGGGCACACAGACTTCTCCAAGCTGAGGAGGAGTCTCTTCCAACAACTGTCAGGGGGACAGAGCAACCCCTTTGTGGTAGCCTGACACACCCTGGCTTCAGGGAATGGGCTGGGACACAAAGGTGACATAGATGAGGGAGAGGGTGGTATGACAGGAAGACGGTTACCCCACAAACATGCTTCTCAGTGCCGGCACATGGTGACTGCCCTGGGAGAACGTATTTGGTGGCTTGAATCAGAAATGATCCTAAATGTGGAGGAGGCTTTGCAGAATAGTGTTACTCTCAGGACAATGGGGGAGTCCTGAGCTCTTAAAAGAGCTGGCTCGCATTCCATAGCAGGTGGAAGGTGTCCATGGAGCAAGGCCACACTACTTTTGGGGCAAGTGAAGCTAATGTGAAGGATTCACAATCTTCCAGCATCATTCTGACCCAAGACTTTCTAGGTATAAGCTCAGGGAAAGTTGTGACCGTCTTGATTATATAAATTTGCCACCCATGTGCTGGGGTATGGAGTAGTGGGGTAGGAGTTGGCTGTGCTTATAGGAAGGAGAGACAACAGAGGATGTTTTATCCCAACCAGTCACACCCGATGCTGATGGAGGAACTGCCATCAAGGCCAGGTTCTGGAGGAACAAATAGTGGATGTGGCAGGAAATGGAAGGCTAACCCAAAAGAGACCTTCAGAGAGGGACACCCGACTGGCCAGACATGGATCTAAGAGTCCTTTCATCCCAAGTGAGGAGGTCAGCAAGGTGTGTACAGAGAACAGGGAGAGGAGGACACAGAAGAGCAAGGCATGGGGAGAGAGGGGATGGAGAGGACATCACACAGGAGCTGGGGAACATGCTGCTTCACCCATCTCCAGCCTCCACTGCCCACCCCTGCCCGCAGAGTGGACCTCTACTCTGTGCTATCCAAGGCCATCTAAGACAATGCCCTCCCAGGGGGATTCATCCCCAGCATCCCACCTGCTACTGACCTCACCACCACTAAGCATTACTACCTGTGTGCAACCGCAGACATCTCCCAGTGAGCCCCAGAACACATCCTTGCCCAAGCCAGCTGCTGACCATCGCTCCGAAGGCCCTCAGCTGACCTGGGAGGCCCATCCGTCTCTTGGTTCCATGGCCTGTACTGTGACTTCTGAAGAGCAATGCAACTCTGGATGCATCAGGATCCCTGCTCTAGGTCCTGCCTGGCTGAGATTATGGTACCTTGCCTTCTCCAAAAAAAGCATGCTAGCATCTGCCCTTCATCTTTGCCCCTGGCGTCTTGACCTTGGCCTGGTCTCGCCTGCCAGGAATCAGGAACACCTACCCTGCCCCTTCTCACATACAGCCCCTGATAGCTGCACCATGTGCAATCTGAGACCCGAATGATTCTCCTGGAGAAGATGCTAATGCTTCCAGGTAAATGTCACGACAACAGAGACTCACCGGCAAATGCCCGAGGAGAGGCGTGATACTGTCGGAGACATAGATGATGCTGCCGTCTGTCGTCACTGCAATAATGAAGCCATCCAATGCCTGTGGCAAATGCAACATTGCAAGCATCTGATCACTCCTTTTGTAAAGACAAGAACATCCCAAGGTAGAGGACCCTGCTTGATGACACTGACTTTCTTTGCTAAACCTCAGAGTGTTTCCATAGAATTTTTCTGCCATCTGTGTGGAACTATTTCTCACATGGAATACCTCTAGCCCAGGAGGAAATCAGCTGCAAAAACACTACAGGCTTGTGGCTGGCATGGTTGTGTAGCAAGCTAATCTCCTGCCTGCATGCTGGCATCCAGTTGGGCTTTGGTTGCTCTACTCCTGATCCAGCTCTCTTTTTATGGCCTGGAAAATCAACAGAAGATGGCCTAAGTTTTTGAGCCCCTGAGCCCTTGTGGGAGACTCAGAAGAAGCTCCTGGCTCCTATCTTTGGATCAGTTCAGCTTTGGCTGTTGCCACCATTTGGGGAGTGAACTAGCAGATGGAAGACCTCTCTCTCTCTATGTTTTCTTCTTCTAAAAAAATCTGCCTTTCAAATAAAAATAAAACAAATCTTAAAAAAAGAAAACTGCTACAGTCTCTGTAAAATAAAAATGTGGCTGGTGGGTATCATCAAACAAAACTGAGCTAGGGAATTTGCCTAAGATGGCTGAGTAATAAGCATGCTACTGGACTAAACCAAAAATACCGCCCTTCCAATAAGCAGTGGCGCTTCAAAGTTCCCACACCCTGTCCCAGCTCTCACGTTGGGCTTAGCAATAAAAGTCTTCATAAGGATGAGAGACTTGGATAATGCCAAGTAAATATAGAAGAGTGCCAATCGGCCAGTGTGAACCTCTGCCTACACTCCGCCATAGCAGAAGTGCCTACTGGGTCACATCGCTTGGGAACCACGTGCACATCCATATTCAAGGCTGAGTGGCCACGGGGCATGTGGAACTCATCTGGATCCATAAGCATCTCAGAAGGTCTGAAAAACGCATGGCAGCTCTTGCGTGCCTGCCACAGCAGGAGCTCATCAAGTGGGAGGCTGAAGGTGAGTGAGGCTTTCTCACAAAGAACATCCTTGTGTTCTCCCCTTCTATGTCTTTTCAAGTTCAGACTTATTTTCATGTGGGTAGCACTTTCCTACCATCTATCTGAACGTTGATCATTACAACTCCAACACAATCCGTAGTGGCCTTGCACCTAGCCACACCCTCCTAAGCTATGTCGAAGATGGACTCCCAATGAAACTGTTAAATATAACTTGGCAATAGGATGTTGAACTCTGCCACTGTCCATGCCCACAATGATGGACACATGACTGTTTACGAAGAACTATACTATTGTAATAATACAGGGGAACTCAGTGGAGGGGGTGATTTGGAGAGGGGATAAGGGAAATCCCAGGGCCTATGGAACTGTATCATAAAATGATAATAATAAAAAAATGAAAAAAGGGAAAGAATAAGACAACACACACACACAAACAAAAAAAGAGAGAGAGAGAAAGAGAGAAAAAAAAGGGAAAAAGAAATTGGAGCTGGAAAAAAACCCAAAAAGACCAAATGCTTTCTAATACTTTGAACATCACTGGGGGGCTGTGGGGAGAAATGTTGGAGCCCGAGGCTCTTCAAAAAAGCTTCATACTGTAATGCAATGTGCTTTTTAAACTACTTTTCCACAAGAATTACAAGATAAATTGATTTATATAAAGCAGCAGAATGACGCATTAATTCGACATTCCACTTCGCAAGCTGCTTTAAATTTAACAGACTTAACATGCATTGCTTCTGCAGAAGGTTCTGTATTTTCTTTAAATATAGTTCACATGCAGATTTAAGTATCTTTCACTCTATGCAAATGTTCATTAATGCATTTATATTTCATAATATTTGGACATCTTCTTTCTGGCATTTTCTTATTCCAGAACTTTCTGTTTTCTGCAGTTAATCTATGTAAATGGAAGTTTACATAAGTCTTATATAGGCACAGAGATAAGCTATAGAAAGATTCTGCCCAAATTCTGCCAGGGACGAATCACGTGACACAATCAACACACACACACATTCCTTTTGCTGAAATCATCAGTCCCCGGCCTCCCTTTTGTTGGTTGAGAATGTGGTCAACACTATGTCTGGGGCATTCTCTGCCCTGGCATTGCTATATGTACATACTGCTGGGCTTTTCCCCAGGTTGGAAGGTCCGAGCACTTGCCCTGTGGTCTTGTACAGACTTATCGACTCTGTGCTCAGAGTTCACCCACAGCGACAGCTGTGTGGCCGAGGAAGGCCACGGACTCTGAGCGGGTTTTCTCAGATGCAGCTTGCAGACGAATGGGAGCAAGCAAAGTGAACACCTTATTTAGCACAGCAACACAGCAAAGCTGGGTGGGGAAGACACGGGGTCACTATGCTGGACACATGCCATGTTGATGTAACAGGAACTCAAGTCTAAAGCCTAACTTGAAGGGAGACTTTATCTCCCAAATGTGTTTTTACTAAGGAGGACAGAACATAGCCAGTGCATTCAAAAGAGGTGGATCTCTAGGCTAAATGGCAGCACCAGCTGGCAATGACCTTCCTTCTCTCTACCTGACCCTAACCTTGCCCCTTGCTGGCCACCAGGAGAGACTCAACTCACAGTCACCATGGTTAGGGCATATCACCACATTCCGTTTAGGGGTTCTTGAATATGTGCACCAATTCCAGAGCCAAGAAGCAAGCAAAGGGAGGCACAATCTCTCTGGGGGTGAGGTTGGGGGTGATTTGTTTTAAGACCTGTCTCGAGGGTCAAGGGCAGTTATTCCTCTAAAGCACAGGATCATACCAGGACCAAGCAGCTAACATTTTCATTTGCGACCAATGAAGCTCATTTGAAAGTGCTTTTCACCTCCAACATCAGCTGGGTGAATTCTTCATTACTGAGGAATGAAGGTTTCCAGTCTTGCTGAATGTCACAGATTTCCGTTTGGGCTGAGACTTCTGAAAACAAAAACATAACAGATAATTTCAATATTCATTCATGACCAGAAATTGAAATTATGAAATGAAGCGCATTTCATGATCATGTAATTTTGTATGAATCTTTGCATAGTTTGCATAAAAAGTCAGTATGAGGGTGCTTTAAAAAGTTAGTGGAAAAGGAAATTAAAAGATAAGTTTATTTTATTGTAAAAATTTGAACTTCGGACCTGGCATGGTAGACTAGTGGCCTTGATCATGCCAGGATCCCATATGGGCCCCAATTCTAATCCTGGAGGTCCCACTTCCCATCCAGCTCCCTGCTTGTGGCCTGGGAAAGCAGTCGAGGATGGTCCAAAGCCTTGGGACCCTGTCCCCATAACGGAGACTTGGAGGAGGCTCCTGGCTTCAGATCAGCTCAGCTCCAGCCGTTGCGGCCGCTTTGGGAGTGAATCAATGGATGGAAGATTTTCCTCTCTGTCTCTCCTCCTCTCTCTCTATATATTTGACTTTGCAATAAAAAGAAATAAATCTTAAAAAAATTTGAACTTCATGCATTATTAGGCTTTTCCTTAATATACATTTTCCACACTTTCTTTTTCAAAAATTAACTGGCTGGTTCCATCTTTTTAAAAATTTAGTTTTTTGCTTTCATTATTTTTTTAAAAGATTTATTTATTTTTATTTGAAAGACAGATTTTATTTTTCCTTTTTACACAGAGAGACAGAGAAAAGGGTCTTTACTTTGCTGGTTCAATCCCAAATGGCTGCAATGATCAGAGATGGGTGGTATGAAGCCAGGACCCAGGAGCTTCTTCTGGGTCTGCCACATTGATGCAGTGACCCAAGGACTTGAGCCATCCTTTGCTGCCTTCTAAGGCCATAACCAGGGAGCTGGGTCAGAAGTAGAATAGCTGAGGCCTGAACCAGCAGCGATATGAACTTCTGACACCATATTTATTGGCTTAACCCACTCCACCACATGCCAGCCCCTCCCACAGATCTCTAAAACACTTTTTGTATGAGGGGGGAAATTCTGATTTCTAAGCCTAGAAACCTTGATGCAATGCCCTTACATTCTTTTTTTTTTAAAAACTTATTTCATCTTCCAAGATAACATATTTTTTGGTTCATAGTATAAACAAAGGCTTAGTGCTTTACTAAAGAAAAGATTTCAGCAAGTGAAAAAGGAAAAAGATCATGGTTCAGCAGGAATATCGGCCAGGTCTATAAATAACAATTAAATGAAAAGGCTTACGTTTCAGACTCAGTAAATTCCCAAATAGGCAGTTTATTAAATCTGTAGAAGTATATTCTTCTTAATCATCTGTTACACTTTTGATGCAAGCCCTCACATCTGTTTATTGAGGTTTTGTGGGGAGGGGAATATCCCATCTTCAGCCTGGGCACAGTGCCTGCCCCCTGCAGGTGGCACCATGCTCTTGAGTTTTCTCATGAAAAGCATCAGGACCAGTTGCCACCCATCAAGGTGACACAAACAGAAGATGGGATGGCGGGTCAAGCAGTTGCTGCTGCCCTTTGCTCCTCCTTAAGCTGCTTTTTTATAGCAGGGGAAAAGTACAATACTTCAAAGATCTGGAAGTTTTTAAATTCCCAAAGCATTTTGCAGTCAGTGATGCACATTGTCACACAGAATACACCATATTTTCACAGCATCTGTAACACCAAAATATGACATGCTAAACCAAGGCAGAGCACTTAGCTGTGCTCAAGGCCAGAACTGAAGCTTCTTAAAAACTTTTCTGGGTTAGTCTGTGGTTTAATTGTTTCATGTAACCTGCATTGAGGAGCTATTCACAGATGCAAATTCAGAGGCGGAGAGAGAGACAGAGATTCATCTCAGCTGTGAGTTCACTGCCCATTGCCTGTAACAACCAGAACTAGGTCAGGCCGTGGCTGGGAGCTGGCAACTCAATCCGGGTCTCCTACATGAGTGGCAGGAACCGAAATACATGACCCCTGTCCTCCAGGATCTACCTTAGCAGGAACTTGGGGTCAAGAGCTGGAGCTGCATATTGAGAGCTCTGATACTTCAGCAGGGGACATTGGTGTCATAATCCTTTTTTTTTCTCTCAAGATTTATTTACTTTTTTTTTAAGATTTATTTACTTTTTATTTGAAAAGCATATTTTACAGAGAGAGAAGACAAGATAGGAAGAGATATATCTTCCATCCACTGGTTCACTCCCCAGTGGCCACGGTAGCTGGAGCTGGGCCAATCCTAATCCAGGAGCCAGGAGCTTCTTCCGAGTCTCCCACACTAGTGCAGGGACCCAAGGCTTTGGGCCATTCTCTACTTTCCCAGGCCATTAGCAGGGATTGGAGGGAAAGTGTCCCCACTTGTGATCAACTGCCTAGGTTGCACTGTACCAAGGCAAGTGTTACACTGCTGGGAGAAGAGCAGCTAATAGCTGGGTCTGGTTAATGCCAAATCTATGTTAATTATACCACTATGTCTGCACAGTCACCTAGCCTATTCTATTTTTTTTTTCTACTAAAGATTTGTGGGAGGGTGCCAGGTTTGAGAGCTTTGGCGGCAAGGGTGTTTAGCGGGGCCTAGGTCACCTGGCTTGGGTCCTTTTTATTTTCTGTTTTATACAATTAAAAAAATTTATTTTTGATGATGATTACATGGTTGACCAAGGTGAGAATGACTGAGGGTTATGGAAAAATAGGTGAAATCATTGTTTCTAAATTTTCTATTTCTTCTTATCTCTTGGGGAAGGGGAGAAATAAAGGGGGAAGCCACATCCAGCCTTCCAAAGGTCCCAGTACCCACCACCCAATATCAATCCAGGTCCCCATGTAGTGCATGTTCTGAGGGTTCTGACCAAGTGGTTTGGATAGTTCTGAAATGCTGTCAATTTCACCAATCCAAGGGTGAGGCAGCCCTCCAAATGTCCATTAGCTGACACAGTCAACCTCAAGTCTCCATTCACCTAGATTTTTCAGTCATCGTCTGCTGGGGTAGTTGTCCAATTTGCTTTGTTCTCTTTCCTCTGCTATGGTACCAAATGGGCTGCCTTATTCTCCATGTGCATCAGGGTCTGCATCTGCTGCTTTGCCTTTTTCACTCACAGGCATGTCCAAGGACCAGGGCCAGGTGACCTGAGCCCTGACAGATCTCCTACCCCCAGGGCTCATGGACCTGGTACCCACTCGTTGGAGGGCCCCAGAACCCAGGTCAGGCAACCTGAGTTCTGCTGGATCCCTGGCCCCTGGGGTTCATGAGTGGCCTAGGTCCTTAGGTCCACCTGCATGGTGGATACCAGGTCCATGAGTCATGGGGGGCAGGGTACCTGGCAGGGCCTGGGTTGCTTGGCCTGGTGGGGGGGTTGGCCTGCCTGCATGGTGGGTGCCATGTAAGTGAGCCCCAGGGTTCAGGGGGGTCCACCAGGACTTGGTTTGGGTGGTGTGGGGGTACGGCAAAGCTCATTGACTGCCCAGTGGCATGCTTGTGGGGGTTGTGGTATGCCAGGCAAAGGATCTGGGGATGGCACAGGTGGGGCATGCAGGGACATGAGGGCTCATGTCCAGGATTGGTGGTCTGAGCGTAGAATGCATGTGTCAGAACTGGGCCTCCTCAGTGGAAAATTGGATCAGTGGATGGTTGGCCCAGATGCACATGGAAGATATAGTAATTCATTGGGGCCTGTAGAGGAATCTGGTACCATAGCAGGGGATGGAGGGCAGAACAAATTTTACAACTACCTCAACCCAGTAATGACAGAAAATATCTGGGTGAATGGAGACTCTAAAGTGGACTATGTCAGTCAATGAACCCTGGAAGGATTTCCTCATCTTTGGATTTGTGAGATTGACAGCATTTCAGAACTATCAAAACCACTTGGGCAGAACTCTCGGAGCATATGCCACCCTGGGGACCCTAGGTTGATATTGGGATGGCCATTCCCTATCCCTGGGTACTGGGTGGTTGGGAGGCTGGGCGTGGTTTTCCCCCTTATCTTCCTTCTTCTCCTAAATACAGAAAGAAGAAATAGAAAATTTGGAAACAACGGTCTCATCCACTTTCCCCTAACCCTTGATGCTTCACATCCCGATCAACTATGTAAACATCATCAAAAATAAAAATTGAGAAGAAAGTGGAGCAGCAGGCACGGGCACCAGAGATGGTATTCATATGAGATGTCAGCACTGTAGGCAGAGGTTTAGCCTGTTAAACCACTGTACTGGTCCCAGTGACTGTTTGAGCAAAGAAGATGTGAAGAGCTGAGTGACAGGTGTGACTCTGCCAGCTTTTACTCATTGTGTCACCAGTGTTACCAGTCATGCTTGGCTTACTGGGAAAGTCTCTTCCTTCGAGAATTACAAAGTACCTTTTGCTCCTATTGAGCCACAGAACTGGATTGGACCCTTGGTAATGGAACACAGGAAGAAAACCAGAGGAAACTGTGTTAAGCAGTTAAGAGCACCCATGAGGACTGCTCATGAGGGCCAGCAGGGGGCTGGCTCATTTCCACGAATGCCCACACAGATGGATGAAGCCAGGTGGAAGCTGAAACTGGGTCTTCCATGCAGGTGCCAGGGCCCGAATTACTTGAATCATCATTTGCTGCCTTCTAGGGTGCAATATTAGCAGCAAGCTGGAATCAGGAGCAAGGCCAAGACTCAAACCCAGGCACATCCATGATGGGAGACAGGCACCTCACCTAGAGGCTTAACCACCACATCAAACACCCACCCCAAAGCCAGAGTTCTTAACCTTGGCTGCACAGTGGAATCACCTGGGGAGACTAAAAAAAGTTGATGCTTGGGCCTTACCCAGCAATCTACCAGCAAAGGCTTGGAATGCCCACAACAAAGAGCTTTGGCTTGCCCACTGCTGTGCTATAAATGCTCTGACCATGGCTGATTTCAGGCTGCCAATTCCATGCTTGCAAATTTCACAATCCTTCCTTACAAATGAGTATGAGCTGATGCCAGCACACTGCTGGGGCCCATCCCCAGAAATATTGATGAATTGATGGTAGGATGTTACCTGGTTATACCTAAAGTTTTAGAGTCTGACAGGCAGCCCAAGTGGAGACCCAATAGCCAGCTCTCCACAGTGCAGCTGTGACATGAACATCTAGAAGAGATGCATAAATCAAGGCAGTGCAACGTTAAAGCCTTGGACCCTGATGGCTGCTGGGTTTAGATTTTGCATCTCAATTGGGACCCTGACTTTATCCTTGTGTGCCTTGGGACTCTTCGGGGCTGTGGGAAAGCTTGGAGACCTAGAACCAAGCTGGCTTCATTGTGAGCATTAATACCTTCCACCCAATGACAGAGACCTGAGGAGTCCATGTCCATATGGATTACATAACTAAAGGAAAGGGACCGTGTTTGCTTTTTTTTTTTTCCACTTTAAATCAATTTTGGTGCAAGCACTCCCATCCGGCATAAAGAAGGCCATGGAGCTCCTGCTTATTTTTGAACATGGCATTGGAGAGCTGTGTGAGATTCCACAGTGGTCCTGGTAACCCTGGAGAATGTGGAGACAGAGAGGCACTGCTGGGGTTAAGAGGTTGCATTTCAGCTGGCCCATCCCTCCCAGAGCCCAGATTTGACAATTCTGTAATTCCACAGTGGACAGAACCCAGCATAAATGTCACACTGATGAACTTGATCCCAGCTGTCCTATTTAACAGCTGTCCTGCTTCTCGGTGGCACTGACCTAGTTTGAGTAATTTGCACAAAATATCTTGGCAATCAAACCAACCTGCTATTTCACATGACTGGATCATTATTTGGGGGGAAATCTAGCCCTTCTGATTAAATTATTGGGGTACTAGAATGCTGTAGCACTTTATGCCAGTCCTGGTGGATTAGGCTTCCCTGACTGAACACAAACAATGAGCATGTCCTTTCCTCTCCCTCAGGGGAAAAGGGAGGAAAAGTTAAATACAAGTTATTGTGGTGCAAAAAAAAAAAAAATTGAAATCCAAGCACTTTTTAAATGCTATGAATACTCTTATTATTACTGTCACATTTGGATAGGTTCATATAATTACTAAAGGAATACTAAGATAACAAATATAATGCAACTTTCCCATGCCCCTGCTGTGCCCTCTGCCATGAAAGAATCTCATTTAGGAAGAGAAGCAGCACTGTAAGCACTGAAGAACTAATTATTACCTCAGTAGTTCTGATGTCTCTGACTTGATCGAGTTTGGTGTCATGGTTAAGCAAAAAGAATCCTGCTCTTCCTGCTGGCTAACAGCTCTTGAACCCTTTTAACTCTGGAAGAACTTTTTTGGGCACCATTTTAGGCATGCCACAAGATAGGTATGATCAATGCCAAGAAGGAGGGAAGGAAGAGATGATTTGAGATAGACCTATGTACAAGGATGAATGTCAATGGTAAAGGAATGTATTGCTAATGGAATACTATACACCTGTTAAGATGAACTAGTTATCACACTGGAACATCACAGATGAACTCACAGACATCATGCACAAACTGTGTGAAGCCATCTGAAATAAAGTCCCACCAGGCACACTCCACATGGTATTGGACTTCAGCATAGAGGTGGCCTTTAGGGAATGCAGAGGATTAAAGGCTTCTGTTGGAAAAGTTTCTATTTTCCAGCCTGGGCCTGGTTCCCCAGCTGTGTTTGCTTCATGATAACTAATTCAATGACATAGTTCTACTTTGTTTATTTCCTTTAGCATGTTATACTTCCATATAGTATTGGAGTAAATGTGGATCATTGGTTTAACTGGATGACTTTGACTCTCCACCTCATGCCATACATAAAAGCATACTCAGGGTGGAATGAATAAGCCTATGACTGTAATATACATTTAAAATGGTTTCTAAAAATTACAAAATAAGTAGAGAGGGAGGGAGGGAGGAAGGAAGAGGGAGAAAGAGGAGAGAAAGGGAGAGGAGGAGGAGGAGGAAAGAAAGCAATTATTCTTACAATCACATTGGGGCTGGTGTTATGGAGCAGTGAGTTAAGCCATTGCTTTCAGTGCTGGCATCTCATATGGGGACCAGTTCAAGACCAATCTGCTCAACTTTCAATTCAGTTTCTGGCCAGTGGATCTGGGAAAAGCAGCAGAAGATGGTCCAAGTACCTGGGCCCCAGGCACAAATGTGTGAGACCCAGATGAAACTCCTGACTCAGCCTAGCTCAGGTCTGGCCATTGTGGCCATCGGGAGAATGCAATAGCAAGCAGATGGAAGATCTCTCTTCTTCCCCATCTGTAACTGTTTTTCAAATAAATTAATTAATTAAAAAAAATCATACCTATGAATTGCATGGAATCTATCCTTTTCTTATTAATATCACATTAACATGAGAATTGATAAGAATCATGTTATAGAAATTATCATCATGTGCCATGACCCTGATAATCTAAAAATAAATTAATAAAATCCTTAAAAATAAATAATTAACCTGTAGCTTAAAATTATAAAAATTGTGAAAGTGAACAAGGGTATAACCCTTCATTATCTTAGATTCTTAATTATGATACATAATTTTCTTAAATATGTTTCTTAAATATGGCACACAAAGCACAAGCCACCCAAAGGGAAAAAAAAAACTAAATTGGATTTCTCAAAATTTTAATGTATTTCCATGTTAAAAAGATGAGACAATCCACAGAATGAGACAAATATATTCATTTTATGCTTGATAATGGTCTAGTATCCTGAATGTTTTAAGAGCTCTTATAATTCAGCAATAAAATGAGAATGACTCATTAAAAAAGGTAAAAGGATTTGAATAGATATTTCTCCAGAGAAGATACACAAAAGGCCATTAAGCACTTGAAAACACAACATTATTGGTTATCAGGTAAATGCAAATCAAAATCAGAATGAGCTATCCTTTCCCACCCGGGGGAAGTCATAATAATAATGAATCGCAAGTGTTGGTGGGGACATGGAGGAACTGGAACCCTCAGACTTTGCTGCAAGTGGAAAATAATACAGCTGCTCTGAATAAAATCCTTCAGCACTTCCTGACATAGTTAAACACTGAATCACCATTTGACCCAGCAATTCCTTCCCTAGGAATGCACCGAAGAGAAGCAGTTCTTAACTAAACATTTTGTACGTGAATGTTCATAACAGCCTTCTCCCTAATAGTCCCCAAATGGAAGTAACCCGAGTATCTGTCAACTGATGAATGATAAACGTCATGTGATCCATCCACATCACTGAGCAGCAATCATTCATAGAACGGACTGAAGTCACACACCAAGCTGAAATGTGGATGCTAAGAGAAAGGAGCTGGCTGGACACGGAGACCACGCGCCGTATGATTCATTCCTGGGAAATGCCGGGAATAAGCAACCCAGAGACAGAAAGCATATTAGTGGTTAGCGGCAGGATCCAGACAGAAAGGAAATGGGAAGTGACTGCTTAGGCTTATGGGTTTTCTTCTGGAGATGATGAAATTAGGTAGCAGAGATGGTTGTACAACCTTGAGGATCTATGAACAAAGCACTCAACTCTACACTTCAACATGAATTGCATGGTGTAAGAGTTGGGTCTCAACAGAAATTGGGCAGGTATAGCATTTAGTAAATGAATGACTTCCAATTCAATTCTTTTCATGGTGTACGTTAGAAAACCAGAGTTGAGGACCAGTGGCAGAGAAGGATGAAAAACCCAGCACAGTGTGACCAGGGTGGGGAACAGGTCAGTACCTGGGCATCAAGGTGCTCCCAGGGATACTTGACCAAGATGCTTTCATGGTGTATGTCCTGGGGGCTACCTGGGAGGTGTCCCTGAGCTCTAGCAAACAAGGCTGTGGAGGAGGGGTCTGTCCTCTCCCCTGCCTGCTGGAGATGGGCTGTTAGGGAGGACCCAGGACTCCTGCAGGAGAAGCCTGGCTGGGCAGATGGATGAAATGACCATCACATGGTATGGGTAGGGTGGCCTGAGCCCGGGAGAGGTGTAACCTTTACCGTTGTGTTTCTGCAAGAATCCGATGACCTTTTCCAGCACGGTGGTTTTGTCCATTTTCCGCGTGTTGCCAGGGAGCATGGAGCTAAGCTCTTTGATGAGAACATTGAACTGGTCCCGACGCTTCTTCTCAGACTTGTTTCGAGAAGCTCTGTGAACACAAAGAGCATGTACATGCACACACATTAACGTGAATTCTGCTGCACAGAGCTCCTGTTAGGAAATACAGGTGCTTCCTACTGTAATCATCTTATCAAACCTCCTCAGGAAGGCAATACGAGCCACACTTCAGAGCTGGATAATGGAGATAAACAATGTTTTGCTAGGGGTGGGTTTGGGTGTGGCAACTGAGTCGGTGCTTACAACGGCCACTCTCCTTGGAATGCCTAGCCCTACTCCTGACAGCTAATATGAAGCCTAGGAGGCCACAGATAATGACTGAAGTACTTGGGTCCCAGTTACTCACGTAGGTGACCTGGATTGAGGTCTCGATTCCTGGCTCTGGCCTGGTGCAGGTCCGGCTCTCTAGAGAGTCTGTGAGTGCAGACGAGAGCTAGACTTCTTTCCATCTGTCCTTCTGCCTTTCCAATAAGTAATTTGATTTAGAAGATAGAAAAAAAAAAACTTTTGCTAGACTCTTGGCTACACAGAGAGACAGCATTAATAAGCTGCATTCTGATTCACATGCAAAATCTTACATGGATGAGCTTTGTCGCCAGACGCTGTTCACTGACTTCATGGAGACTTCATCTCCAGAGTGCAAGTGACAAGTCATCTACAGAGATGGCTGCAGCCCAGAGGCATCTTCTCTGACAGCTTAGGTTCATATCCTTCTGACCCGGAGCACCCAGCCCACGTCCAGTCACAAGGAGTGGGCCGGCACTTCAGGTGTGCCACCCAATGCATTTGTCCTGACCCCTGCCAGGGACAAGTCACCATCCTGTTGGGGAGACAGGGATTCCCCCTCCCCCACCCTGCATAAAAGTGTACAAGTCCTGAAGACTCAGGGCCAATATATGACAGATACTCCATGCGGCTGTCAAGCTGCTAAGAGCAGCTGAACCCCTTTCAAATGACATGGGAGAAACTCAAATACATATTTCTCAGTCAAAGAAGCCAGCCTGAAAGAGCTGCATACAATTCCAACTATATGACATTCTGGAAAAGACAAAAGCAGGGAGGCAGTAAAAAGATCAGTGGCTGCCAGGGGCTCAAGGGAGGGCTGAATAGGCATAGTAGAGGACTTCAGGGCAGTGGAATTACCCCGTGTAATACAACAATGACGATACCACACAGGTCATTACACCTGTATCCAAATTCATCTGGGGAATGGACAATTCCAGAAGTGAGCTCTAATGTCAATGATGGACTTTGATTGACAATAATGTGTCAGTGTGGGTTCATTTACCGTACCAGTGTCTCTCTCTAATGGGGCATGTTGACAGCTGATAGTGTGTGTGTATGTGTGTGAGAGGAAATGAGTGGACAGTAATGTGGGAATCCATGGATCTTCCACTTAATTTTGCTGTGTAACAAAAAGTGATCTAAAAAGCAAAGCCTATTTTAAACAGTGATAGCCTATGCAATACACTTATAGAAGAGATCAAAGCAAAGTGTTTAGTTTGAGGTAAGAGGACTTTCCCCGAGTCACCACGGTACCTTTGAGAGAGCCTAGGAATCCCAAGAACTTGAACAGAGCATTAAAGTGGAGGGGTTGAAGAAGTGCAGTAAGCCATGCTGTCCGAAGTCCTGGTCCTCAGTGATTCATCAAAGACCCTTCATGAACACCCTGCTGACTTGAAGGTGACTCAGGGGGCTGGGAAAGCAGGTCCACTCCTTCCACGACCACCCAAGTAGGACTCGCTCCAGAAAATCGCCTCACTGACAAAGACCAGGGGCCACCGGGGCAGAACTGTTACACTTAGTCAGCCTGCAGGTCCTGGTACCTGGACCCTGGGGTCAAGGTTCAGGCTGCTGGCCAACAGGTAGCCAGGACAGAGGTGTTGATGGACATCAACTCACTCCCCTTTGGCCAAGGGTCAGCCAAAACTCTGCTTCTCCAAGCAGCCCTTGGACGCACAGGGATGCATCCCAAACACAGGACCTGTTTCTATTCCAGCCTATGTTAACAGGGTCCTTCACCCCTCGGGCTACTTCCTTTTCATCCCATCAGTTCTTCTGGGCTCACCTCCAGGTGGTCGCCAACTTCTAGTGAGGGTCTTTTCCTTGGCCCGACTTCTTCCTCCTCCCTCTCTGTTCTTGGATTCTGGGTTGAGAGACTGTACAAAGCCCTCACTGCTAGTTGAGTAGCTCTTCACATCACAGTCGGGCAGCAGATGTGGCAGGAGGGGCTGAGGTGGCTTTTTGCTAGCTCAGGGTGAAAAGTGTGGTGTTCAAACACCCAGCAAAGAAGAAAGCAATCCTTTAACTTTTTGAGAGGCTGTCTATGCATTATAAATAATTTTTTGGCCTAGATTTAAGAGTGACATGCAACCTCCTTTGCCGAAAAAAGCTCTGTTCCTGTCCTAGTTTGCCCATGATAAATTATTTGTTACTTGAGAACACCCCACTCATGATTACTCTGTTCTCTTCTTCAATGGCTGTGATGACAATGATCATGGCCTGGCACAGAATCCCATGAAGGCTCGGATCGTTAGCGACGGAAGTACAAGCTTGTTTCCATCAGCCTCCACCTGGGATGTGCTGTGTTGCCCAGCAGAAATTGGTCACTGTCAGCCAGATCACGGTTCCAAGGCAAGGGAAAGACAGGAGCCTGGAGTGACCTTATTTCCAGTAAAGAGGCCTGCTCACGTGCAAGGCGCTGGGATGGTGGGTCGAAATACATGGTTCACATTCCACCATCCCCATCCGTTTCAAGTGTACTTTAGTGATTGTGTGACCACCACAAAACACAGCACATACACTAGTCTTCTCACCCTGAAAGGTTCTCTTCCAAGATCTCCCATCCCCCACAACCAGAGCCACAGGCAACCGCCACCGATGTTTTCTTTTCTAGAATGATCACATGGCAGGAGTCTTTGACTTTCATTTGGCATAAAATTCTTAAGTCTTCCATGTTGTTGCACATATTAATATTTCATTCATTCTTATTTTCAACTAGTATTCCATTGTGTGAATGTGTAGCAATATTTGTGTGATTTTTAGTATGGGGGATATGAAAAATTATGCACAGGATACTCTGCTGCTCAGCTAGGATGCCAGGGAGGGTAGGTGGCTTCCGTGTCTTCTTGACGTACAACATTTTCAATTTAACAATAGGTTTGTTTGACGGAACCTCGTCCTAAGTCGAGGAGTATTCTATTTCTCTTTTCTGGAATGTCATTTCAATACAACCAGGCCACCTGGAACCTTTGGAGCCCTGGTTTTTTCTACTAAGCCTAAGTTATTGTGCCTAACGCCTCTGCTTTCCTATTACTGAGTAGTTTCCTACTGCATGAATTTGTCATGGTTCTTTTTCATTAAAGATTTATTTATTATTACTGGAAAGGCAGATATACAGAGAGAAGAAGACACAGAGATGAAGATCTTCTGTCCACTGGTTCACACTCCAAGTGGCCACAGTTGTTGGAGCTGAGCCAATCTGAAGGCAGGAGCTTCTGGTTCTCCCAGGTGGGTTCAAGGTCCCAAGGCATTGGGCTGTCCTCAACTGCTTCCCAGGCCTCAGGCAGGGAGCTGGATGGGAAGTGGAGCAGCGGGGATACAAACGGGCACTCACGTGGGGTCTTGGCACATGAAAGGCAAGAACTTTAGCACAAGGCTACTACGCCAGGCCCATCATGGCTCTTTTGTCTGCTCCCCTGCTGAAGGAAATTGGATCATCTACAGTTTGGAGTTGATAAATATATATACTATAAACATTTGTGTTCAGGTTTTTGTGGGAATATAAAGGATACCTGGTCTCTGAAGTAGAAAATGTAAGAATAGGAGGGTGGATCATACGGACACCTTATGACAACTTTGTAAGAAGTTGTCAAGCTACTTTCCAGAGTGGCTGTGACCTCTCACCTTCCCACCTGCAATGTACTAGGGGTTGTCCAACAGCTGGCAGAACATATATACTAGAAAAGACTGCGCATGTGTTTCACTTTGTTGCATCAAAATGAACTCTACTAACTTACTGTAACATGACTGAAAAGGATCTAGTTTGTGGCAATGAGCAAGATAAGTCATCGGTTGCAGAGTCCCAAACAAAGCAACATAAATTCTGAAACTGAAGCAAGAACAAACATCAGATTTATGTAGACACTTGGGTGGGAGCATGGTGAATCACTGATACATTACAAAAAGTCTGTAGGAACAATGCCCAGAGAAATCAGCATAATTAGAAGGATAAGTTGATGTTTCAGAAGAAGCCTGAAGAGGCTGACTATCCACATCAAATTATAAGAAACAAATTAAGCCCTAACAACAGAAACGACAGCCAACACAAGTGACATTTCAATAGATTCATCTCACATGATTTTTGATGGAAAAATTAAAGTTGAATCATGTTTCTGCTCAGAGGGTACCAAAAGTGTTGTGCCCAGACCAGGCTTTGAATATAAATTTTAAAACGAGTGGGATGAAGATTCTGATGCATTTCTTGGAGGACTCAGAGCAGCAAATAAAACATGGCTTTACCAATACAATCCAGAAGACAAAGCATGACCAAAACGACAGCTACCAAGAGATGGAAATTGTTCAGTCACAACTCAGCTGGTCAGTCAAAAGCAGAGGTCCTGGCAGCAGTTCTGGGGGATGCTCAAGACATGGTGCTTACTGGTGGTCCGAAAGGTCACTGACTGACAGCAGCCATCTGAGATAGTTAGCTAAAGCTTTGGCAGGAGACCAAGTGGGAAGATTTCACCAGAGAGCCCTTCTCACCACAATCCTGCCTGTTCCTCTCATCTAACAAGGGCAACAGTGTGAGAGTTCTGCTGGAGTGTTTTGATGCATCTTCTTTACATTACAATCTTTTCATTCTATTTTCAAGTCTTTATACAGCTCTCCTGTACAAGTGATCCGGTTGTTTCACACATTCAAGGTTATTATTATCAGTATTTTAAATTTTAGTTGGCTGGTGGCTAAAGTTCTCACCTTGCACACACTGGAATTCCATATGAGTGCCAGTTCTAATCCCAGCTGCTCCAC